GTCCAGTGGAAGGGGAGTGGGAGGGCAAGGAGGGCCGCTGGGAAACAACGGACAAATAGGCAAAGCTGCTCGACCAGATCACCACCGCTACGGAGTCTCCTTTCAGAAACAGAAAAGTGGTCATTTTACATTTGGGAGTACGCTCAACTGCACACAGACCCCTGGGAGTTCTCTGGGTGGGTGCTAGGAAGAGGACTAGAAAGCATGTAATACAAAAACTGGAAAGAAAAAAAACATACTTATACTTTTAAATGACCTTGAACAAAATACACCTTTCTTAGCACTGTCCAATTGGGTAACACAAGTAACAAAGAAAGACAATAATTCCATGCTTGCTGCATACAGGTTGCTTTTAAATTTTCTTTTTTTAAGGATGGGTTTTAAGCCGGGCACAGTGGTGCATGCCAGTGATTTGGGAGGCTGAGGCAGGAGGATCATGAGTTCAAAGCCAGCCTCAGCAACTTTGCAAGGCCCTAAGCAACTCAGCGAGACCCTGTCTCTAAAAAAATATAAAAAAGGGATGGGATGTGGCTCAGTGGTTAAGCACCCTAGGTTCAACCTCTGGTACCACCACCACCACCACCACCACCAACAACAACAACAACAAAAGAATGGGTTTTAAGCAAATTGGGGGAACTAGACTCAGTTCTGGGGAAGCAATGTTTACATAGATGTGGCCACTCATAAGGGCTTGCAAAAGAGAGAGAGAGCACAAATAGCTGAATTTGATGCACTGTACTGCATTCACAATTTGTCCCTAAATCTCTCCTCTCCAGTGGATGGTGGTGGTAGCACAAAGGAAATAAAAAATACATTTTAGGGTGTTCATCTCTTCCTCTGTGGATGGACAGACAAAAAGAGAACCAAGGGTAAATTACTTCATTCCACTCTCTCCATATTTCTGCGTGGTGCTCAAGTCGGTCATGTTCATAATTTACTCACAAAAAAGGAACATAAGAAACAGCACTTCATTTGGGCAAGAGTCTTCTAGGGTACCTCTAGCCAGCACCAGAGAAGCAAGGTCACAGAGCTCAGAGCCCCAAACATATCACAGCCCGACCCACCAGCACACACCATCATCCATGCCGGTGGTGCCTGAACCCTACCTAAGTTTCCCTTCCTGCTTGGATGAGCTCTATGCTTTCTGTAGATCTCACTGACCCAAGTCTGAGTGAAGTCGGCTGCTCCCCACTCTAATCACCTGCTTAACTGTGGCTCTTCCCCAAGAGCCTGTCAACTCCACGGGGCGGATCTGTACACTCCAGTGGCCAGGTTTGTGGTGTGCGTACATTAGTAACTCTGGACAGAACAACCAGCACCATTTATAAGAACTACTGAGCATTTGAGAAGAGAGGAGTATCATGGTTTGAATGTGAGGTGTCCCCCAAAAGCTCATGCGAGAACGTTCAGAGGAGAAATGACTGGGTTATAGTCTTAACCCAACCAGTGAATGAACCCCTGATGGGATTAACTGGGTGGTGGCTGGAGGCAGGTGGGTGTGGCTGGAGGAGGGGGCGTTGGGGGCGTGGCTTTGGGGTCTCTATTTGTCTCTGGAGAGTGGAGTCTCTCTCTGCTTCCTGATCACCATGTGAGCTGCTTCCCTCCACCACACTCTTCCTCCATGATGTCCTGCCTCCCCTCGAGCCCCGAGGAATGGAGCCTGCTGTCTGTGGACTGAGACCTCTGAAACTATGAGCTTCCAGACAAACCTTTCCTCTTGTATAGTTGTGTGGGTTGGGTCTTTTAGTCACAGCAGCGGAAAAGCTGTCTAAAACAAGTATCAAGGAGAAAACCCTCCAGGAGTGCCATCAGGCAGGTTCTCTGGAAGGACGACAGAGCTCTGTACCCGACAAGGGAGCGCACCTGAGATCTTTCCTGCAGAGATAAACTGCACCTTCTTGACCCCCAGTGCTCACACTGAGGCCCATCTCCAGGATGCTCCAGTCCAGGACCATACACAGTGAGGAACAGACACGGGGTTGTTCCTGTCCAACTGGGGGTGGGGCAGCCTGGTTCTGGCTCCTTCTCCTCACTTGCCTCCTTCCCTTTCAGGGTGGTCACACCTGCCAGAGAGTCTGGACGCCCTCCCTCCCTCCTCCTAGTCCCTCTCCCCTTTCTCTCTCCCTCTTGCATTTAAGAAATCCCATTCTGGCACCTGCTTCAAGGCCGACTCTGATGACCAACCACCAAGTACAGTTGGCTGCGAGGACCAGATTACTCATTGTACTCTCAGTTGAAGGAACATATTAGATTCTTTTTCTTTTTTAAAAAAATCACTTAATGAGAAATTAACATTCTTAGATATGACTCCCAGAGCTGAAGAAATAAAAGCTATTTCTGATCTGCGACAGAAACCCATATTGATTTATTTTCCCTCTTTACAACATCTCTATCATCATTCCCAAACCAGAGTCTCTTTGAAGGGCACAATTATTTATGCTCCTTTAAATTAACAGATCATACAAATCCCTCACAGACCTTCCACGGCAAATGCAAGTCCTTTTAAGCTATTTTAAATGTCCATTCCCTTTCAGATAAGTGAGAAATTCTTATCCCTTTCTCTTCTCAATGGAAGCTGAACCCGAGGAGGCTTTGGTCCCCCTCCTCTTAATCTGCTTTTCTATTTTGAGATTTTTATTGAGGAGTTTATATGTTTCCTTGACATTCCTCTGGCTAATAGTTAACTGAGCACCTACTCTCTACCAGGTACAGTGCGCCATATACTTATGTATATGGCGCACTGTAGCTGGTATATTTATGTAGGTAAGAAATGAATTAATAAACAAGCAAGAGCCAGGCATAGTGGTGCGAGCCTATAATCCCAGTAGCTCAGGAGGCTGAGGCAGGAGGATCTCAGGTTCAAAGCCAGCCTTAGCAACTTAGTGAGGCCCTAAACAACTTGGTGAGACCCATAAAAAGGGGCCTGGGGATGTGGCTCCGTGGGAAAACACCCTGAGTTCAAACTCTGGTCCCCAAAATAAATAAATAAGTAAACCAATCAATAAGCAAGAACATTCCAGATGTACTTCAGTGCTTTGAAGAAAGAAACTTGGAAGATATAACAGACAGTGAAGGAGATGGGAAGAGGCAGGCAATCTGACAGAATAACCAGAACTCACTAAGAAGGCAAGATCTCAAATAAGACCTGAAAGCATAAAAGTGAGATCAGACTGGGTACAAGTGAAGGGAGTTCTCTCCCCACAGAGGAAGCCACCACGGCTGGGAGGCAACAGGAGGAGGGGTCTGCAGCTTCCTTCCCTTCCCTTCTCGTGACAGCTGGCCTGGGTCTGCCTTCATCTTTGCTCTAATTCCACATCTGCACAGTATGGGGACAAAGCAGCCTATTATTGCTGAATAAATAAATGAACTTACTTTGTAGGGAATTATTTTTATTGTTTTTGGTCCTGGGGATTGACCCAGGGGTGCTTAACCACTGAGCCACATCGCAATCCTTTTATATCCTCTCTAAATAGAGACAAGATCCTGCTAAATTGCTAAGGCTGCTTTGAACTTTTGATCTTTCTGCCTCAGCCTCCCAAGCCACTGGGATTACAGGTGAGTGCCACCGTGCCTGGCTGGGAATTATTCTTTACAATCTCCCGATTTCTCAGGTAGACAGCAGGGTCAAAGGCACAACCCAGGCAACTCTGCTGCCATCCACAGCCAGTGAAGGATTCCCACAAGGAACAACTTCTGCTAAAGGTCTGTACCTCTCCTCAATCCACCCTTGAAATGCTAAGCCCCAAGGCGAGGGCATTAGGTGGGACCTGTGGATCTGAGATTAGGTCATGAGGTCAGAGCCCTCACAAATGAGATGAGTACCCTTTCCTGAAATTGAAACTTGGGGAGAATCAATGGAAACATCCCAGATTAGGATAATTTCAGACACTACACTTCCATTTGCATTTGTTTTATCCCTGTTACCAGCTATACAATGGAACAGTTGGCAGAACTGATCAGTTATTCCTAAATCCGACTTAAATGAACTCTCATAACTGGTTCTGGTTTCCCTGGGAGAGGGAGAGGTGGGGAGAGAGAGAGAGAGAGAGAGAGAGAGAGAGAGAGGGAGGGAGGGAGGGAGGGAGGGAGGGAGGGGGAAAGAGAGGGAGAGAGAGAGAGAGAGAGAATGAGAATGTTTGCTAAGCTCTACAGAGTTGGTGCAGGTCGAATGACAACCCTCTCAAAGGGTGTAGAGACACGTTTTTGTCACAGTGGGGCTGGGGGTAGGGAGGGGGAAGGAGAGATTTATTAGGGTTCCTAATGCTATTTCTGCCAATGTCTTTGGAATTCTAATTAGATTATTAAAACTTTGCAAATCACTGCATTAGATGAAGACTCCACACCTCCCCGCGACAAGAGTACTTTTGAAATTAGAGGATCTCGATGTCACAGGTAATGATGGACTGCCCATAATAAAACCACAGGGAAATTGCTCCAATAAAAACCAGTTGCAAAAGACAGAACCCATTCATCTTGCTTTCTCTCCCACTTTTATGCCTGAGGAGAAGATGCGTGCCCTGCACAACATCAGTCTAGCCTTTTGCAGTCGTAGCGACTCCATCATGCTTGTTCACACGCTACGAAATTTAATGACCTATCCTGGCGACTTATTTTTGTCCCACCCTAAACCTAAGAGGCAGATCGAAAAATTTATAAGTGGGAAGACGCTTCCAAGAAGAATATTTTTAGGAGAGAGATGAGACAAAAGACAGGTGTGACCCAGTAGAATAGCATCCCTTAAGGCGTTTTGATTTATAACGTATGCATTCAAAAGTGGTGCCCGGAGAGAAACAAATGGATTCCTGTTAACCCAGACCCATTTGCAGGTAATAAATGGGCGTGCCCTTTACCCATCAAATAATGGCTCTAATGCCCTTCAATATCAGGGGATGAGAAATGGGTGTCACCTTCTGTCCTCTGCAAGATAACCTGTTTCCTCTAGTGGGGGATTCAGAGCCCTACACATTCCAGCAAAAGGAAGTAGATTTGGCTTTACTTACCATGATGGACGACACCCTTCAACCCGTGGATAATAGGATCCAGTGCAGAATTGTCCCTCGGACTGACCTACATGTAAAGGAGACATGATTGGTTAAATCTATTCTGGCATCAGATACAACAGCCTCAGTTTAATCTTCTAAAAAGAAGGTGGGGAAACAGATGTGATCTACCGAGGCTCTCAGGTCTCACGTAGACCCTGGCTCCCACCAAATGCAGGATATTTATGACATAATAAAATCAAGCGAGGAGGTCTAAATCAAAAGAAAGAAACTTCACAGAATACATAATAACCAGAGAGACATACCATAGTCTTAGCAAAATCTTAAAGGCAACTGCGAGACTTTTTTCTGCTTCATTTTATTAAAGGTAGCCCCCAATAGGCTAAAAAGTCACTGAAAGAGAGCCATCCATCATTGACTGAGGATTTCAATACCTTCTGGGGTTTTTCCTTCTCCTTAGAAAATGCATCTGTTCCCTGCCAATGGATTCTCCTTGAGAAGGACCCCAGGCCCTGGAAAAATGTCACGACATACGGGGCATTTGTCAGAGTTACTCAAAGCAAGAAGGCAGGGGAAAGAGCTCCAAGAAGCAGTGACTCTGCCTCAGTTTCCCTGTGTGGACTTAATGCTCCCAATACCAAGCCCTCCTTGGACTTGTCTCATTCTTCCCCTTTACTGACCCTCCTTAGCAGAAATTCTCAATCTTGCCCTTTCTAGAAAATTAACATTTTACCAGCATATTCCAAGTTTTAGGTACTTTCCTTAGAATTACATTAAATATTTACAAATGGGATGATGTCTTGAAGGTACTTCAAAACAATCCAAGAATAGACAGCAGGCAGAGTGAGCAGGGTACGGATGCAAAAAGACTGACCTTCACCTTGGGTGATGGGTAGAGATGGGTAATGAGACTTTTTTTTTTTCCCCGATACCAGGGATTGAACCCAGGGGCGCTTAACGACTGTGCCACATCCCCAGCTCTTTTCATGTTTGTTTTGTGACAAGGTCTCACCAAGTTGCTCAGGGCCTCACTAAGTTGCAGAGGCTGGCTTTGAACTAGCGATCCTCCTGCCTCAGCCTCCTGAGATGCTGGGATTACAGGCGTGTGCCACTGCATCTGGCAATAAGACATTCTCTCTACTCTTGTGTATGCTTGATTTTTTTTTTTCCAAAATAAAGAGCTTTCAAAATTCATTATTTGTGGTCAGCACAGTTCCGGTCTTTAATTTTTTTTTCCTCCAGAGATACTATTTGCCATTAATCCATTTCTTACATAATGAAGTTATGAGGTCGTAATGAACCTTTCAGTGTGTGGCAAGATCCAATTTGATGTTTCAAGTTAGTTAATTCAGAGGAATCCAGATCCATCCCTAGATGGAATTCTACAGTGACTGCCAATTTCCCACACTCTTTCCTCCTCTTACAGATGTTCCAGTGGGGAACTAGTTTGTACTCTCTGATAACAATCCATATCTGGTACATTTCCTTCTCTTCTGTGCTTCAGCATCACTAGGTAAGAGCTGTGTCGTCCCAATTATACCTTCCTAAGGGGACACCGACCATGCTCAAAGACATTTTTAGGTGTCACTACTCAGTGGACAGGAAAAAGGAGGAGAAAATATTGCTGGCCTCAAGTGATGAGGGGCCAGGACTATGCTAAATATCCATGTGCTCAGAATAGTACCCCTGTAACAGAATCACCTGGCCTGAGTGCAGGGGGTGAGGGTGGGAAACCCTAGATAATTGCTGTGTGAGTTAACAGTGATCACACCCTAATGTCTTAGTTATGCCTAAATTCAGAACAGAGGTGCAATTATGCACAGAGTTGTATTTATACACTAATAAAATAATGTGGACCTTGTGCTATATCATAAACACTACAGGTATGGGGAAAAGAAAAAAGATCAACAAATAGGGACCCAGTGTAGCAGTCACAAATGTAGGATTCTGGGAGTTGGCATGAGTGTACCTCCAAATTGCCTGAGGACAAGCTCAAGCCAGGCTTGTCACGGGTTGAAGCATCAACATTCGTGAAAGGTGAACATGCACAGAATACACCAGATCAAAACTGTATTTGAAGAAATATTGTAATTTGCACCTTAGCCATTGAAATTCAAATACTTGGCCAAAATAGAACTACAACTCAAGAATGCAAGAGAACAAACTCTAACCAGAGAATGTGGCCAAATTTCAAAAGTCCTGAATACAAGAAAATCACAGAGAAAGATCCCACGTCAAGTCGAAGTTGTAGGTAAAAAACAGCACCATAATTAGGTTGGGACGAGTGTCCCCATGTGGCGCTACTGGGAGACTGGTGGAACCGTTAGGAGGTAGGGTGTTGGTGAGGGATGTGGCCTTAAAGGGAACTGGACTGTCCCCTTCTTCCTCTTGTTTGGCTTCCTGGCAGATGAGGTGAGCTGATGTGCTCTGTCACATACTCCTGTCATGATATGCTAACTCACCTCAGGTTCCCCAACACGGGGCCAATCAATCATGGACCTGAACCTCCCAAACTGTGAGCCCCAATGAACCTTTTTTCCTAAGTGAATTATCTCAGGTGTATTTTTACAGTGATGAGAAGCTGACTAACCCAGGTGGTTTCTGGTGGAGATGTTCATGCCAATTTAACTACCTGTAGTTACACTAATATCTGTCACTTTAAATTCTTCCCATCCCGGCCCCAGGCAATGCTGCAGTTTGATTTTGATTTTCCTCCATCAAGAGTGTATAACAATTTCTCCTCCCTTTTGAAATCCAGTTGTCTACATGACTTTCTTTGGCTAAGGTGAAGTTACTGACCGTCATACACACAGGCTCAGACCACCAAGGGAAGAATCCCAGGTTGATCTCCTGGAGGAAGACAGAGCCCTAGGAGCAGACAGAGACAGTCCCTGACGAGGTCCTTCAAGACCCACCGGTTTACTAACTACCAGACTGGTGAGTGAGTCACTCCAGGTCATTAAAGGTGGCCCCAACCACAAATAACCAGCTGGCCTATCAAATCATGAAATAATAAAATGACTGTTGTTTAACTAACTGGGATCATTTGTTACAGGGCAAAACTTGGCTATTGGAGCTTCTAGGTCTGTGTATAAAGGTAGAGGTTGGGGGATAGGCAATATCAATTTTCTTAAGTTATTGCTATGGTTTATCACAAAGATAGCCCATTAAGGTTCTATACAATAAGCTCATTAAGGTTCTATACAATAAGCCTGATCAACTCAGGAGTTCCTCCAGAACTGTTACCCTTCCTCTACCATGGTGACCTTTCTCAGATATAGTAGTCTCCCCTTATCCATGTTTTCACTTTCTGCAATTTCAGTTACCCAGAGTCAACTGTGGTCAAAAAATATTAAATGGAAAATTCCAAAAAGTAATAATTCTGAAGGTTTAAATTGTATACTGCTCTGAGTAGCAAGATAAAAATCTCATTCCATCCCACTCAATACTGTCTGGAATGTAAATCATCCCTTTGCCCAGTGTATCCACACTGTATCAGTTACTTTCCCGTTAGTCACTCAGTAGCCGTCTTAGTTAATAGATTAGCTGTCACAATACTTGTGTTCAAGTAACCCTATTTTACTGAAAAATGGTTCCAAAGTGCAAGAGTAATCATGCTGGCAATTTTGTTAGAGTATACTTTATAAGTGTATTATTAGTTACTATTGTTAGTCTCTTACTATGCCTAATCTATATTTATGTATATATAAATATATGATACTATATATACATACACATTATATATATACATTATATATGTATATGTGTGTGTGTGTGTGTGTATATATATATATATATATATTTATTTATTTATTTATTTATTTATTTATTTAGATTTGGTACTATGTGGTTTCAAGTATCTACTGGGGTTTTGGAATATATCCCTTGCAGAGAAAGGGAGATTACTGTGTTGGATGATCCATACAAAATGAGAGGGGATATATTATAGTTAGAGGGACACTTGAATGCATTTAGTCTTGTCTGATGATATGAAGTCTCAAAGAAAAGTGTCCCTAATCCTCCATGACTGACACCCGCTGATAACATTTGTAGGCCATGCAAGAGAAAAATAACCAGGCAACCCAATCCAAGTTCAATTTCAGCTCACTTGTGCTTACAGCATTTCATTCTTTGTACAACACTCAGATGTGGCCTCATCTGAGCTCAGAGGCCTGACCCCAGATTCTAAGCGAACCCATCCATGGAAAGCCTTAAACCCTGTCCACTCTGCCTCACAGCCTCAACTTCTGGTTCATCCAGTTGGGGTTGAAAAGATGGATGAGGAGAAAAGGAGAGAAAATGAAGATAACTGGCTGGTCAAAGACATTTACTGATAATACTGAGCTCATTCTCCAGGCAAGTGTCTTGGTTCCAAATCTCTGGGTAGGGAATCCAAATAGCATGCTAATCAGTAGATTTGTTCCAGTAAGGTACAACCCTAACTGAAATAATCCCTTCCACTTATTGTTTCAATCAATTTGCCACTTAAAAATTTGTGGACATAAGCTAAGCCATTTGGGCAGCTTTTAAATACGGCGACAGAAAGAAAGCGGATTTAGCAACCCGCGTTTACATTTATATTCTGTTCTCTGCCCAGGGTAGACAGGGCAAGGGAGTGAAGAAAAAAATGGAATCCTCAATCAGGCACACATCTGGGGAGAGCGTCAGGGTCCTCATCTGTACAATGGGAACAAAATCTCACCCCATTCTCATGCAGACTGAAATATAAGGTATAGACTCAGGATAATGGTGAACAGAAAGATAGCATCTGCCCAGGGATGGATAGCATCGAGCACCAGGTTAACCTAAATTGTCAAATTTAAACGAATATCAAACAACAGCATTTTTGTCCCTGAGCTTCTCAGCATGCTTGGCTCTCAAAGTGAGGTCTCTTTGAGCTCCAATTTCAAAAGATCTGAATTTACGTTTTATTTGACATCCACTCGATTTTGTAATATGCTGCTCCTTTTAAAACCACATGAGGACTTTTCCTGGCTCTTGAAACTTGCCTCCTCCACTTTAAGATCAAAGGAGTTATGCAGTAATCCTGAGAAGGCAGCAATTGCA